AACACAGGAGTCAGACAAGGGTGCTTATTATCTATCACCAATGATATTCCTAATTGTGGTGGACTGGATTATGCGTCAGACAGTGGGAAACGAGAAGACAGGAATATCCTGGACCGACGTGAAGAACCTAGAAGACCTGGATTCCTCGCGTGGATGATTTATGTTTGATGTCACACAAAATCGAAGACTTACAAGCGAAAACCGACAAACTGGTCGAAGAAGCAGCCGGCGAAGACAGGACTCCAGGTGAACATAGACAAGACGGAGGTTATGAAAATAACCAACCAACAACAGCGGCAACATCCAACGTCAATCACCATCAACGGGAGGGATTTGAAAGAGGTTACTTCTTCTCACTTATCTAGGGAGCATTGTCTCAACTACACGCAGTCGGAACGGACGAGGATGTCAAATCGAGCGAGAATCGGGAAGGCGAGAAACACATTCATCAGCCTGAAATCAATCTGGAAATCTTCGTCACTCAGCATCGACAACAAAATTCGTTCGGATTTTCAATACAAACGTCAAGTCAGTCAGTTCTTCTATACGGATCAGAAACTGGACGGGTCACAAAGAATATTTCCAACAGCTGTTGCAGACCTTTATTACCAACTGTCTTCGCTCTATACTGAAGATCAGATGGCCGGAAAGAATCACCAACAAGAAACTATGGGAACAGACAAAACAAGAACCAATCGCCCAACAAATATGCAGGAGAAAGTGGAGATGGATCGGACACTCGCTGAGGAGACCGCTGGGTGACATCGCGCGCCAAGCCCTCGAGTGGAACCCGAAAGGGAAGCGGCGTGTGGGACGTCCAAGGGTGACATGGAGGAGATCGTGTGAAGAAGAGTTGAAAGAATATGGATTAACATGGATGCAGGCGAAAAGTACAGCAGAAGACAGAAGAAAATGGAGATGTGCAGTTGAAGCCCTATGTTCCACTAGGAACCCAAGGGAGCAGTAAGTAAGTAAGTAAGTTATGAGGACATTAGACAAATTTAGGGGTACATAACGAAATATTAGTTTGAATTTCTCGTTAAATGATTTTATTAAACGAAATAGCTCGGTTTCTTACAGGATTTCATCATGAGCTGACACCGATTAGAAGACAGTTGGAAAACCTGGGAGTACCGAACAGCTGTTTTATTCTAACCTATGACTCTTCGGCAGTACGCGCTCGCCAGGTTCAGGATCCAGGACATTCCGGTTACATGGTGAGCTACTGGGACCCAACCAAATGGTATGTGAATTCCAAATTCTACCATTTCGATTTCTGCTGACATGTCACGACCTAGAACAGTAGTCTAGACGTTTTCTGAGATAAGCAGTTTCATTTAGTATAGGACTCATTAACTGGATGCGCTTGCAATTATCTTGTATAATATTAAAAAGTGATTTACAAACCTTTAAATTTACAAAATCAGTTACAGGTCCCACCAGCACGTACACATACAACACTTCCATCTGAAAACCGCTTCAGAAGAACTTTAAGCGAGTGTTAAAAAGTTTCCTACATTCAAATTACGAAGCTAAACTTGACACTGATCTTCTGTATTGTCTCTAATACTTCTATCCATGTAAGCATTTATTTCATCCTTATTCCATTAGATTTAGACGCGACCTTATTTATTCTATTTAGAGAGAAATTATTTTACGCTTAGAGAAATTTTACGTCCTAAAGACTAAAATAGTAATAATGGGTTCAAAGACATCAGTTATAAACAGCAAGCATAGTCACGAGTATAAGTGCTCCCTCAATGTGTTTCTTGTTTGATGAATTTAAGCATAAATGTTTTCCATAAAATTGAAAAGACCATAAAACATGATTGAAACAGTACTCCAAAACAATGGTCAACAAGGGGTGTTCATAGCATAAGGGTTATTCATATAAGATTAGTTTCAAAAATGCAAAATCGTATGCACTATAAATGCCACCCTATTTATGTTCTCGAAACATTCACAGTGTTCCACCCAAGAGGCAGTATGTTTTTGGTAGAAGGTAGTATTTTCCTGAAAAATTAAAATTGATATATATGTTCATCACACAGTTTCTAACTGAACTCCAAGAGAAGTAGCATATTTAAAACCATTATCGAAACAATTTCAAGAACATTGTAGAATGCGTCATTGCAGAAGCTCATAAATTAGTTTTAGAATTGTTAGAATAGGACTAAGGGGATGACCTAGTTTCAATACCAGGATTTCAAAAACTGACATTATTTACAGACAAGGAAAAAATATTTTCATAATGCGAACAGATTTTGATTCTATGATTTACATAGTTATTAAGTCCAACAGTCAGAACATATATGTTATCTTCATACTTGTTTCGTTCTCTGGATAATATCAAATATCACATACATAAGGAGTTAAATTAATTCATGGCATATGATCAGAAATTCAAGTGTTGGTTTGCATGGATTTGATTTGATTGATTACAGGATTTCATCATAAGCTGACATCGATTAGAGATTAACTGGAAAGCTTGGGAGTACCAGACAGCTGTTTCGTCCTAGTGCAGAACTCTTCATCGGCACCCATGGCCTTTCGGTTGCTAGGCAAGCTTTTAGAACATCCAGCCACCGGGGCCGATCCAATGGCCCATGAATTTCAACTTCTGCCAATTTGTGATATAGCGTGACTACTAGCCAGTGCCATCGCTGGCGAGTATTTGTCGTCACACCCGATATGTTGGATTGTGGCAGAACATTCATATTTACGAGTTGATCACGGATTGATATCAGTTAGAGAACCATTGAAAACCAGGGAGTATTGGACAGCTGTTTCATCCTAGTTTGTGAATCATCGGCAGTACACATCCATTGGGTTTCGAACCCAGGACCTTCCAGTTACAAGGCAAGCTCGTTTACCATCCAGTAAAATGTGAGGATGGATGTCCCACCAATGACAGTGGTTGGTAGCTGCGCTAAATCTCGAATTGGTAGGCTAGAATTCATGCACTGGTCATTGAATCGGGTCCCAGTGGCTGAATGGTACACGAGCTTGCCTTGTAACTGGAAGGTCCTGGGTTCGAAACCCGATGGATTTGTACTGCCAATGATTCCCAAACTAGGACGAAACGGCTGTCCAGTACTCCCTGGTTTTCAATGGTTCTCTAATTGATATAAATTCGTGAACAACTCGAAAAAATAAAACTAATCCTTAAAAACCAACTATAGAAAAAAAAAAACATTTATTTGGTAAATCTGCGGAAACAATGCTGTCCCATGTTTAATTTATTTGGCAAAACATATCTAAGGGTTGTTATGAATTTAATTTACCCAATGTTTAGATATTCAAAACCACGTTGAATCTAAACCTTGTTCAGATATGATACAGGCTGATTAATGTATCCAATGCGTTTTATAACTCAAACACTAGTATAACAGGGATGAAATCCCATGTTATCAATTACCTTTTTCATCCCACTTCTCTTTATTCATCAATTCCTAGTGTAACTATTTTACTGGAAAAGTTTTCAGTAAATAAGTAATACTGTATCACCGTATGTTTTTCCTGGATAAAATTGTTCTATTGTGAGATTGGAAGACCTTTTCTTTTTCTTAGATATTGAAATTCATACAACGAGCACTGTTTTCACTTACTTATTGACTAACAAATAATGCCATTAGGATATTTCTAAACGTGAGACAGATATTCAACTTGTCCATTCGTAATCCAAGAATTTTTTTTTCACTACAGAACTTTGCACGGAAGTACAACAGATCAAGTTCTACCAATTCTGAGTAGCTAAAAGATAGATCTTACAAATGTAACAGAACTAGAATTGACGAAGATGTACATGGCAGGCAGAACAACTAAATCAAGACCAGTGAGGAATTTGTGAATCTCGATGACAATAAAAGGTGAATACATGTCATTACAAATGATTCCGAGTTATCTTATCCTCAGTCCTCAACTGATTATTGATGGAATCCCGACAACCTCACTCGGTTGACTTTTTAACTCCTTAAAAGCCATTAATAACTTCATAGATTTGTGTCACATAATTGTTTAGCCATTTTGTCTGTCTCTTTTTCATTTCTGTCCTATTTCGGATGTTACTGCTAGTTGATGAAGCTGGCGGTTTGTGATATACAAAGTATGTCCTAGAAATCTAAGCTGGTGAATCTTCATGATTGCAGCGACTGATTCTCCTTCCCTGTATGACCCATCATTAAAGTCCATATTAAGCTTTCTAACACAGAATACTGAACTCAGACACCAGTCAGAAACCGCTTATCCTTTTATACCTTTCATTTTTCAACGTCTTGCAAACATCAGACAGATATACTTTTTTTTTGGTGGACAGCCAAATATTTCTTCTAAATCAAAGATGGCTTAAATCTGCAAGTGATTCTTTTGTATTTGCGCTCTGATTTCATCAGCAATCAGTCGGTTAGGGCTGGTACTGCTTCTCGAATGAGTGAAGCGGTAAATTTAACTCCGTATTGTTAGACTAGGGGGTCAGTGCAGACTAATCCCGAAGCATCTTCTTATATTTGACAGGAAAGAATAACACGCATTTTCTCAGTGTATTTATCTAAAACGTTAAATCAACAACATTTCCCCCTAACAACATATAAGTTTCTGAGACATCAAAGCTGGCAAGCGTGACATAACTTAGCATATCTATAAAGAAGATGAACAGAAATACCGGCATTAAATATTCCCGACAAACAACTTCAGATGACAAGTCTCTGTAGGCAATTACACAACTGCATGAGTTATATAATAATAATGACATGATTAATGCTTTCTCAGCATTCACTCTACAACCAGACCACACTATTGTGGCTGTCGATCGACATAGTCAAATACCAACTTCATATCAAGAAGTATGGCAAACAGTGGGCGTAGATATGTACGTCTAGGTTTCAGAACCTGTTGATAGATGAAGAGATAGGCAGTGTACCTTCGTTCACTCTGCATGTCCCCCCCCCACCAAGCCTAATCAATTACCCGTTGCAAGAAGAAGAACAAGGAGGAGCTGATTGCATTGCATAATTAATTTACCATTGAAGAATAGAAATAGTAATAATATTATTAGAAATTACATTTATGTCTATATAAATGAGCAGACTAAAATATAATAATGGTGATAAAGTGTTCAGAAAAACAAGTAAAAACAGGTAAATTTCTATCGCATTATATTTCCTTCTGTCAAGTAAATCTTTGATTCATCAGTCATAATACTACTATTTTTGTTCTCAAAAAAAATAATAATAATATTCAAAATAATATTTTTTTAATGTTTTTTTTATGTGTGTATCAACTCATGCATGATTGAACAGGTTAAGCTAAACAGTAATATATCATAGGAATAAATCAAAATATAATAATTGGTTAATAGTGTAATGTCATGTATGTGAAATATGCAGAGACACATGCAACAGGCTACTTGAGTTTCGCTTCTTTTTCTCCCTAGCCAATAAAATTCGCCCAGCACAGTTTTTGCTTAAGATTCTATTACAATAGTCTAAGTCGGCAGTGGGTGGGTGCGGGTGGTACTCATCAATATTTCAAATTAGTAAGACACCAAAAAAAAAAGAAAAGAATAATTAAAACTGTTATAGATAGACCTGTTGTATTTTATTGGTTCTTTTTTAATGAAAAGGAGAGGGAATTATATTGTCTTCATCTTTTTAGCATAGAACTAATAAGGCATTTTGAAATATATTTTAACAAGAAACTGACTGTCTAAGCATTCATAATGATGAAAGGTAAGGGAATTAAATGGGTTAATGTTTAAAGCAAGGGAGACCATTTTTATAACCTCCACTCAAAGTGTGCTATTCGCACAACTGACTAGATTACTAGTGAAAACGACAGTGACGGAGTTAAAAGGAAGGATAGAAAAAAAAAAGAAAACACAGAGTGGAATAATTGTAGTGATGGAAATTAAACACTTTGCAGATTTATTTCTTTTCTTGAACTGTTTCAAATGGTGGTGGTAATTTGATTGCTGAAGGTTCTACACCCCATATATCACGAGCATAATCACGTATGGTACGATCAGAAGAGAACTTTCCAGACGATGCAATATTCATCAGCATCATTCTCGACCACCTCTGTTCATCCTAGATTTTCAAAACAATGGTAGGAAGAAGACAGTTAGTACGAAATTCAATTACTTTATTAGAAGATTCTTTTATCACGTAAAAAATGAACAAGAAAGCAATGCTGTTTAAGTCAGTCCCAGTTTAAGGCATCAATCAATGGTTTTTAACAGCAGGATATATATAAAAAGGCCAGAGGATGTCAATGTACGTTGTGCTGAAAGATGCAGCTTAACTGGCTAGATCCCTTCTATGATGAATCCTGATCCGCATGAAATGATTTCAAGTGTTTAATTCACTTTTAGATTTTCCCGTCGATTGGTTGGACTGAAGTGCTCGGTCTCAGGTTGACAAGTCGGCTTCTTGTGCAGATACTTCGACGATGTCTGGGCATGTAATCAGAAGTTAATTGGTGGATGGTGACTAGCAGTGGAATCCAGGATGCGCATTTCGTCCTATTTCGGACTCGTCGGCTGAATGTACCTGCACTCCGCAGTGAGTGATGATGTTCCCATCGAGGCTGGAACCCAGTGCCTGTAGTTTCAAAAGCCAAAGCGTTAGCCAGTAGATCACTTGGGCCACGAAAGTCATCTCTTGTGCAACAAGTCATTTTAATTATTGAATTCAACAGCCATTTCGCGATTGTATGATATGGGGAATCTATCATATTATATCAATATTAAATTCAATTTTAGATTTTTTCGTCGATTGATTGGACTGCGGAATGTGGGCACATCCAGACGAGGAGTCCCAATTAGGACGAAATTCGCATCCTGGATTCCACTGCTAGTCATCATCCACCATTTACCTTATGATTTGAAATAGTTTACAACGTCATGACTCTATTCAGTCCTCATTGTTTTTGAAATTCTGAGCAGTACAAATCTTTATCTGATTGTTTTTCCCAAAACTCATGTTCCCTATAGCAATGTTATTTTAGTATCCACCTCATTGTACACGGTATCAAGTGTCATAAGTTAAACAGTTGCGCTTCAGAGAAAAACACTTCAAACTGATAAGTCTGCCTATCTCACACTTTGGATAAATCCTTAAAATACACATCTATTAAATAATTTCGTCTAGCTGAGAAGAATTCCATTTTCCAAATCCGGCAAAATCTTGTATGAAGTTTTAAAAGTCATGTTTATTCACTCACTTTGTTGATGGTTATTGAATTCATTCAAAACAAGTACTGAAATCTCCTTGTTATCTCTTTCTAATGTATTTTAACCTAAATTTCATAGTTTTCATTTCTTTAAATTAAACATTACAAATATGCATTAACACTGATTCTTGCTGATAATTTAGTCCTTTAGTTCTTTAAGTTCACTGTGTACTTCAAAATACCTACATATTTCAGTATTATTGGTTGAATGGTTGAAATATCACCCAGTAATATACTGATTTTATTGAGCTGCATATATCTTAGAACTGTTTTCAGTTTGTAACATTTACCAAACTTATGTGCTATTGTCGTACGGCCAACTAGTTGTAGCTGTTGAACATAAATCAGAAAATCAATCACTGCTTTGTTGTATTATTTAATTTGTTCCCAATTCCGTTTGTGGTTGAATCGAATCCCAATTTCTTATAGAATACGGTTTTCGTTTATCATATTATTATTTCCTTTAATTCCTAGAGGAACATAAGGCTTCAGCCTCGCTAGAGTTTTCACCTGGCTCCAAGTCTGCCCACATGTTTTCATCTCCTCTTCACATGACCTCCTCCAAGTCACCCTCACAATGACGACCACCTCGCCGCTTCCCTTTCGGGTTCCACTCCAGCAATGACCTGGCGTGTGATTTCACTCGATGGTTTCCTCAGCGTATGGCCAATCCACCTCCATTTCTTCCTGCCTATTTGTTGCACAATCGGTTTGTGGTTGGTTGGTTCGCTCCCAGAGATCCCTGTTGATGATATTTTCTGGCCGGCCATCTGATCTTGAGTGACATTGGGCGAAGACAACTGTAAATGAGGGTCTGTAGTTTGTTTGAGATGCTCTTTATGACGCACAGTGCAAGTCTCTGATCCGTATAGTAGCACTGACTGACTTCACATTGGAGTTGAAAATCCGGATCTTATTTTTGGTGCTGAGTGCTGTTGACTTCCACACAAACTTGAGAATAATGAAAGCTTGTCTTGCCTTTCCGATTATTGCTTTTATATCCTCGTCAGACCCGTCCACCTGTAGTTGAAACGATGCTTCCCAGGTGTGTAAAGGAGGATGTTTCTTTCAGATTTCTCCCATTTATGCTGATTGTTGTTGTTGCTATTGGTGTTGGCCAAGAATCTTCATCACCTACCTCTGAAGTCCTATCTTTGATGCTTCTTCTACCAACTTGTTGCTTTTCACTTTCATGTCTTCCGATTTGTGGAAAATCAGACATATATCATCGGTGAAGTCCAGATCCTCCACGTTTTTCGTTTAGACCTAATCTAAACTTATTAGATGAGGGTTTATGAGCACGAAATCATTGTTTAGCGATCTTAAAGCTATATTTTAACAGTTGATTTACATTTTTGTCTAACACTTTCATACCTGATGTTTTGTAAGTCATTCTATCAATGGCAGTTGTAACTGATAGGTGTGGTAAATCGGCAAACAGTTTCCGTCTGTCACAAACATTTATTATAAAATGAAAATCAGATCATAGTCATAGCGAATATTGCTCTGACAATGGCTTCGAAAGTAAATTATCTCAGACATTCTGTTGAGTGCTTTTCCAGAATTTAAAACAAGCAATAAAGGTTAATAAAGCAGGATTTAATGAATTCATCAAATTTCGGTAGAACTCGTCAGCTGAATACTCTACATACACGGATATATATACTTTTGAAATTACATTGGGAGATATAAGACTGATAAGTAAACAAACTACATTGAATTAATCATGCAGAAAGACACGTGCGAATGTTTTCCAGGTCATGTTCAAATAGATAAGGGGAGAGAGAGTATGAGAGATCAAAATTAAGATAAATTGCATTACGCTTCAATTACATCACTTAGATAAACAATTAGTCATTAGGGAATATAACGAGAATTGCAAACAGACTAATATCAATAGTAATAGTTATAACAGTTTTAATAGTGTTGAAGTGAGTTAAGATAATCTTACTGATAAAGAATAGTTTTAGATGGATCAAGAATAATAATAATAATGGTAATAGTAATAACAATAATAGTAAGAAGAAGAGGTAGAATAATAACAAGTAGAGAACAAAACGTATTACCATGGTAGATTAAGAGTCACGACCATCTCCTTTTGTATACAGAGAGCTGGTTTATAAATTCGAATTGCACAAGCCTCTGCAATTGCAAGCATCTTCTTGTTTCTTTGTTTGCTGACAATGGTAAATGACTTGACTGCGTCGATATCATGTCCGTAATCTACAAGATGTTTTGTTATTGAGGATTTTGGCACTTTGCACTCATCTGTTTTCAACCATTTTGGCAAATGCTCCATTATGCGAGTAGACAATCGCCTTTCCGTACGACCTATGTATTTGCTGCCACAAACACACTCAAATTGATATATGCAGTTTGAAGTGTCGAGGATTGGCGACTGGTCTTTCCCAGATTGTTGAAGCACTCGCTTGGTGGTGTTAAGGATAACAAGTTTTGCAGCATAATAAGTTCTCTTGATGGCTTTGTCGAGTCTTCGTTTCACTACTTCCTGTATGTCATCTCCTTTGAACGGCAATTTGATATAGACAAGTTTCTTTGGAACTGTTTGAATTGTTTTGCAGGGGTAGTTTCTTTAGAGTATTTATTAATAAACTCAGGATATCCATTCTTAGATAAAATATCCTTCAGAGATTTTATTTCCTGCTTTATTAACCTTTATTGCTTGTTTTAAATTCGTATCGGGAAATAAATGTTTTCCAGAGTTACTGAAAATATACCCCAGAAGTGACTCACCTTGTAGGCCTCTTCCACTTCTTGTTGTGCACGTAGATAGTCAGCATAATCTGCGCATAAGAGAAAACGATCATCAAACGCTAGACTATTGTATATGTCTTTAAATTGGTCTGGATTTTCTGGGGAAAAGTAACCATCACGAATTTGTTCCAAGCATTGTTTTAGCTCTGGTTCTCTATCAATAAATTCTTGTGGTCGATAACTAGAAGGGGTATATAAAACATGGAAAACATAGTATGTAAATTCAGGGTTACCAGTCGAAAGAAGAAAATAAATATTGGCCCGTAGTAGAAAAAAATCAAGTTTTTAGAACAGAATTACAAATAATAGCTGTTTTCCGACTAACAGCCACAATTTCGATGTACGGTTTTATATTTTGGTGATTTCCGGATGGAGGGGCGCAGTTACTACATAGTTGAAAATGCCAAAGAAATTAGTGGTAAACCACATCGGAAACTGAGAACGATTTATTTACTGATACATTAAATATTCTTAAGTAAGACTTTTACGAGTTCTTCTATAACGAATAAGTACATAAGAAATCATGGTGATTCAAGTTACATGTTCATTGATAATTTCCAATATTTCCCTAAGTGATTTCAGCTCGCAATCAGGCCTGTGATCCCTGCAAATTAACATTTAATAATAAAAATTTCTGTTGACTTTGTATTAGAAAAAAACTTAGAATGCAAAGTTTATTGTGCAGACGAAGAATCTTAACACTTGCCTGTTTCTCGTCAAAACATCGAGGTCTTTATTGTCTAATTAATTCATGTTCCATTAGTCAGTGAATAGGTTCCACCCCTCGATTTCCGTACATAAAAACCGGTCATTTTTTTAAACATCAAGTGATTTTATGAATATTTCATAAATGTCTTTAGAAAATTTGAAACTGACCGATAAGTCTTACACTAACAACTTAAAGCATTCCAGTTACTAATATAGAATGTAACCGTTTATTTGCAAACTTTTCAGTTTTGAAAATTCAGTGCTACTCCTAGAGTTTGTAGCCAGTAATTATATTTATATAAATGGCTTTACCACCATTATATATATATATATATATATATATATATATACTCCCTTGCATTTCGAGCAGGACATAAGGGAACCAGACTTGAAACCATGAAGTTTCAGTAGCTGTGCTGTTGTTTTTACTGGGTGAGGTTCCTGGCCTCTCCCTCATCCTTCCGTCTTTTCCAAACTTAGGAGAAGTCTAGGAGTGCATTGGCTAGAAATCGAACCCCGGACCACATCCGCAGTTGGCGAGTGCTCTACCATCGAACTGCTGGTATGTACTTACGCAATGCTTTAATTCCTTTAATTCCTAGAGGAACATAGGGCTTCAGCCTCGCTAGAGTTTTCACCTGGCTCCAAGTCTGCCCACATGTTTTCATCTCCTCTTCACATGACCTCCTCCAAGTCACCCTTGCACTGACGACCACCTCGCCGCTTCCCTTTCGGGTTCCACTCCAGCAATGACCTGGCGTGTGATGTCACTCGATGGTTTCCTCAGCGTATGGCCAGCCAATCCATCTCCATTTCTTCCTGCCTACTTGTTGCACAATCGGTTTCTGGTTGGTTGGTTCGCTCCCAGAGATCCCTGTTGATGATATTTTCTGGCCGGCCATCTGATCTTGAGTGACATTGGGCGAAGACAACTGTAAATGAAGGTCTGTAGTTTGTTTGAGATGCTCTTTATGACGCACAGTGCAAGTCTCTGATCCGTATAGTAGCACTGACTGACTTCACATTGGAGTTGAAAATCCGGATCTTATTTTTGGTGCTGAGTGCTGTTGACTTCCACACAAACTTGAGAGTAATGTCATGTAATTGTGCTTAATTGTTACTGATATTTCAATTCACATTGGCTTTTCCAATAGTAAAAAAACCCTGTAAATTTCATAGTTTTATTTTTGACTAATAACACAGGCGAATTCCCACTGAGCCAATATGAACACTACTAATGGACGAAGTATTTGTACGAAAACTAATCAGGCATAGAAAACACTTGTGTGATCTTTTCCAAATAAATGCAAACTATGATAAGCGTATGGAAGAAGTGGAAAGAGATATAGCAATTAATATCTATATAACCTTATGCACAAACGAGTACAAAAAATTACTATATTTCCAGGTTACAATCAATAAAATAATATGCTTGTATACACAAGTGTGAGTATAAGATTACTTTAATACCTACTTAACAATAATTTTTAATCTGTTTCACATTTTAAGTCGTCAGCAGCTCTTAATAACTTGTAGCCAACTAGTAAACAAGATTTAACAAACTAAATGTTCTTGTTTTCTTTTACCATATGCATGCATACAAACATTCAAGGCTTATATGTTCTTTTCAAGTATGAATACAGCCATGTTTAAGGTCAGTTGAAGTACACAATAAAATATACACGTTCCTGTACTCAACAGGCTATCTTTTATGAATAGATACAATTGAATAAGAAGGTTGTAACACATGTGGTGTATGATACTGATTTCAGAAATTTCTTTTGCCTAGCTTCAGATATAAAAGATTCTCAGTTGAACGATTTAAACAAAATGGTTTTAATTGAAAAATGAAGATTACACTTATTTAACTGAAGAGCAATAATATTTTGATTAACAAATGAAATAATTGTTATTATAAACAATAAAATAGTGGAAAAGAATAAAAAGAGTATTGCTCAATGTGACAAAGTTTGTGAAAGCTTCTTTTCTTCCCTGAAGGAATCTATGACTGTGGAACATTACGCTAAAAATGGAAATTTGATCTAATCTATCTAAAATGCTCTCTTATAAGACTTGTATACAAATCTGGATACAATATCGTGTGTATTTCCACGATAATGAGGAATAAACAGGCGATCTCACTTTCAGTTATTTACAAACGATAAGAAGTTATCATTATTTTCAGTCTTAAAGCACAAGAGATACAATCTTCAATTGAGCACCACAACTAAATATAGCTATTCCTCTCAATAATTAATCATCAATTTCATTTCTATAAATGCATAGCACGGAAAGCCAAGTAGACCAGCGATCGGCAAAAGCGATAAATAACATAGATCCAAAGCAATACAGATGGATCAAATGCTGGGAGTATTCAAAAGACTGAATGATTAGGCGTGACAACAAAGGTGAAATGTAGGTTGGAGAAAATAACTTGCTGAAAATGTCTTGATTAAAGCTTGAAGATGCAATACGCCAAATTTAGATAAAAAGGCGGGTTTTGATAGGAAACTTGAAGTAAAAACAAAGTGTTATGGAAATTTACTTATATCCTAATAAACAGTAATCAGCACAAAGTTCCATATTAAAATTGTATTCTTCCAAGTATTTGAATTTGTTTCAAGTTTTTCACAAGGTTATATATGTTTCAGCTATTCTATAACTTGACACAATTTAATACACTCCGCTTTAAGACCTTTAGGGACATGCTATACTCTCTTTTCGATTATTTATGTGTAAACAGTTATAAACAATACATGAGGGCTCATATCATTCTGCTACATTTATTGTCCATGTCCCGTTTATATCATTAGAAATGTGCCTGACAAAGTGATAAAATATTCCTATCAGTCAGTCTACTTGAAAGCATCTTCGCAGATAATAACTTAAAGGAAATAAAAAGCAAATAGTTAGTGGATAGTATATACGTGTGTGCGCACAACTGTATATTGTGTCACATAATCAACATACCTAACACAATTGGTTAGAGTAGTTAACTGGAAAGGAAACAGAATACATACTATGCTATATGTACAGACATGCTAAATGCACATATAAAGCAGGACAAGTAGTAAAATCTGGAAAGGAGGACATAAAGTATTTATCTCACTTCTTGATAAAAAAAATGCATAGAGAAACAAGGCAGGCACATATGGAGATGTGCGTGTTATTTGGCCTTAAACAAGAATCAGTGTACACAGATAATGGACACTGCATACCAAATCGGTGTTAAGAGTTTAAAAAGACATGGCTTCATGCAGTCGATAAGATGTGGTAACGAAAAGAAAATATTATTACTACACTCGCATATGTAATTTTTAATCTAAGGGATTTTAAATACTGTTTATAGGTGAGACAGACGCTATCACCGGTCGATTCCTAGGACTTAAAACCATAAAAATAAGAGTGGTCGAATAATATGAATATGGGTAGTAGTAGTAGGTTTTTAAAAGTCATTATTTAAGGAAACTTTGTCACTGTGTTTCATATCAAATAGATAATATTCTATTATTGGTAGGATAAGAAGATATTTAAAATATTTACACTTTTTCTTACCCTTTTTTATGCAAAGCATCAACTTGTTCCATAGTCAAACCAAACACAAACATATTTTCTCGGCCCATTTCTTCGCACATTTCCACATTTGCACCATCCATAGTACCGATGGTCATAGCACCATTAAGCTGAGGCAGCAGAATGGAAAATAAAACACTAACTGTTATGTTACCTGACAAAAAAGAACTTTTGGATATAAAGTCTTGAAGTAGTAACTCTGTGGTAATCTTGACAACACAGAAGGAAATATTTCGAATATCCGTTAAGCAAGAATTCCATTGCCTAATAATATCACTCGATTATGAATGCCATTTGAGAGAGAGTTTCTTCATCACAAAATGACACCCAATTGATGGGTATTGATGTTTTTTTGCCTGATTCAACAGGCGTAGCAAGTATTTGATTCTTCGAGCCTATATATCCTTTCAGATTAAAAATTAATGGTAGGTATACAGTACTTCCACCCTTTAAACCCGAAGCTTTCCATTTTTCCTCCGTACTTTTCCAAGCAGCTTACAAAATTCAAACTTAATTTCTTTTTTGCACCTCACACTCTTTTCTATCTAATTCAAACCAACTCCGTTTTCTTCTGTTTGTTCCACCTTGATATGATTATGAGCAATAATTTGTGCTCGAAACGTCATCAGTTAATATAACTGTACAACACTGTGTGTGATTTCATCAAAATAAAATCTTATCCATAATGGAGTTATACTCTACCACCACAGTGCCCAAGTTTTATACTTATACCACCTTGTTTCACTTTTTCACTTTCTACACTTCTCACCTTTATTGTTTCCTTGGGCATCGACAAATCAGTTTTGAATACATTTCACAAAACTGTGCAATACACAGCACTGCAATAATGACAGTATTTTTTTATCAGACATTAGAAATTCAACCTAACAAATTAAAAGTTGCAGTCAAGTTTGGAAAATTTATAAAAATATGTTGAATCAAATATCCTGTAATTCTTGATGAAATAGGTTTTCACATGTGGTTGCTTCAATTTTTTTCTACAAACTAATAAAAACCTATGCACAGCTGGAACTGTTCTGTTGGATAGTCAGAAAAGTTTCCACTTAATACATACAGTTAGGTGTATAACTCGTATTTCTGCTTATTGAAATATGACCAGTATAATAGTAATAATAGATCTGGGGTTCAGCAACTGCAAGCTCACAACATTCTGCAATCCAAGAGTAGCAGTTTTTCCTGTCAAATATATTACCTGGTCAGTCACATCTTAATTCGCTTTGCTACGCTTTAACCTGGAGTTCATCAACTGATAATTGAATATGTTTAATCTACCGAAATACAACTGTTACTACTGTTGATAATTTGTCAGTGCTTTAGGTACTGTTTTCAAATCATTTTACTCATCGAGAATCAAATAAAAATTATATTTTATTCTTGCATCCAATGATCTCAGGAAACAATTACTTTTGCATAGTGTCAAAACATGTTGAAAAGTTCCAAAAACGAATTTGTTTAACCTACCATAAATTTCATATTCCCAGTGCCAGAAGCTTCTGTACCAGCAGTAGAAATTTGCTCTGATAATTCAGCAGCAGGAAATATCTTCTCAGCCATCGAGACACGATAATTTTCAAGGAAAATTAGCTAAAATACAAAGCATTGATTAAGACTGAATGTTGAGACACAAACAAAACAGTAAGGCGAATTCTACACCTAAAAAATTAAGAAAAGGTATCATTGTACAACTGCTAAAAATACTTCACTTTAGGATACGCAATCATAAGATCTACCGCATAGCTTGAATCTATGATGTTCAGTGCTTGCTATATGACAATCTTATTGGTTAATCACGTTCATCATAAATGATCTGTGATATTTATATATGGTACTAACTACTTCTCAAAGTGCAATAAAGCAATCGATTTGTGTCATTTAGACCAACAAGCTGATGATAGTTCACTGCATTTCATTTATTTACAACTTTACCTTATATCCTGTGTGGATAATGAACAACGAGAAACAGAGACGTTCCTTAAAATCACTTTGATGTACACCACTACTTAAAAAAGGGTAGGTTTCCGGAGAGGATTTACCTTTTTCAGAGATGTCATTCTAAAGCTGTATAGTATATTGTCACAGCAACAAAAGGAATTTTTCCTTTGTCATTAAAATTTAACAGAAATCAGAAGGAGACTAAAACAAATTAAGTAAGTAGATTGAGTACTCTTAGCAGAATACTTGTCATTCAAGTTTATAACATTAAGTAAATGAATTAGTATTTTCTCGCAGTTAAGTCAATATTGTAGTTAGTTTCTACTTAACAGTTCTTCGGTTAAATCTAATTAATTTCTATTCGGAAATTTTAGAAGTTCCCCTTGGTACGCCATATTTTCATTTAAGAATTTATCATTTAGAGATGAACATGTTTTCATTGTTTCTTGGGTTTAAAATGTTCATCCAATCATTTAAAAGAGATATCTACCTACCCAAAACATTTGAACAACTACACACGAACTGTTCAAACTTAAACTACCAGATATACATTGGCTTCAATTGATCACTAGTTTTATTCCACTGATTTAAATGTGAATAAACAGTGGTTAAAAAAGCAGGTGAACTTGTAGAAAGTTACACTTTATGCCACGCATTTCATCTTATTTTTAACACTTAGTTAAATTAACATGTCAAAATGTTAAAAGTCATCAACAGAAAAAAAATCACTTCCAACTTACTTTAAGTCTACCGCGTACAACTGGATCACGATTGACAACATTACCAACACTATTGATTAGTTTAATAATAAGTTTAGCCATATGGTAACCTGGTGCAGCCTTACCCCCAATCATAACTGTACGTGGACAGACTGGCATTTCAGGGTTGGCTTTAATGCGATTATACAATGTTATAACATGTAAACAATTTAATAGTTGACGTTTATACTCATGAATTCTTTTGACCTAAATTCATATAAAATAAAAATATATAACTTTGGCTACACTTTTATCGAATTATTGTCAATAATAATAATGGATGAAAGCGTGAAATAAAAGTAAGAGGCACTGAATATAAAGTGAAATTTAGATTTTTAAATGTCATCATTAATAAGCGTCAATTTTTACAGATTTGTCACTAACATAAATCATAAAATATCTAGGTTAAACTTGAAATTTTAAAATTCAGATGAATCACATTTGAAAATTGCATATGTGAAAATGAAATAAGGTAATTCCGACGTTTCGTTCGGTAACCTGGTCTGAAGTTCTTTTGATTAATTTTCCTGAATAAGGTTCGAACTAGTTAGCGTAATAAGAACTACTCATTTCGATTTCGCTGAGATTCTACAAATACAATTTCTACATATATCTGCTTCTTATTCAGCACGCAACTATTGTGGAACTGTTCGGTCAAATCTTGATGACAATTCATCAAAATGAATCGTTTCCACCTTTATAAGGAGATAAGCTTTCCGAATTGAATTAGGAAGAGTAAACCGAAATTTCGCCTTAAAGACGTTAAATTTCTGTTGACTGACGTTTATTTAGTACCTACCGTCCGCCTAATTACGAGTTGATTTCACACAAATAACCCACAGTAAAGTGTGTTTGCTTTTACTTGCTAGTTAAAATGGCCGCTAGTCTACTTATCATATAATTATAAGCGTACTCTTCGAAGAAATCATCAGTGAGTAGATGAGCTCTAGACCTAACTGTTTGACATTCGATTTTGATGTGGTTGTGTTCTCTGAGCTGGGTAGTTTGTTTATGAAGCTTTCATTACCCTATTAGGCAACATCTTGAGCGTATACTTCAATTTGAACACAACCACATCAAAATCATCCACCTGAGCTGCAAATATTCTCCATCAGTTTGAAATTCGTTGGATATAAAGAACCTGTTTTCATGGTTTCTTTGAACAAGTTTTCTTTTGGTATTTCATACACATACAGGCTGTTTGGCTAACTGTCTGTCTGTCTGTTTTCGACATAGAACTTTGCACAAATGTGCGGAAGTTCAAGTCGCCACATTCCGTGTAGCACGCGAAGCAAGAGAAGAAAGTACAAGAAAAGCATAATAGAAACAGTGAGCAGAGGTGTGAGACAAAGGAGTAATAAAGAAATACAAAACAGTTTCATTGAAGATCATAAGTCACAGGGAGTGGATGCATCTGCGCCACTGAGAACGATTTTGAGCCATGTCACCAATTGTTTCCAACCATAGATTTTTACCGTCCCGAGGACCCCAGCCTGGAAGTCTACACCTTCCTACGTGGCTTAGACCAACTGTTGTGGATTTCATTGACTGATGCCAAGTTTTTGTTTGACCGCCGCTAGCTTTTTTCCAGCCTGACCCTATATCCGCTAACATTGCTCGTCGAGGGAGGCGATGGCTTGGCATACGTAACACATGTCCTAACCATCTCAGTCTTTGTAGCTTCACGACTTCGTCGATTGATTTCCCCTGTTTACCTAGAACTCTACGCCTAACCTCCATGTTGCTCACCTTATTATGCCACTTTACACGGGAAATAGAACGCAGGCACCTATGATCAAAGACAGCTAGTCTTTTCATGTCTTCCACTCTCAGTGGCCAGGTCTCACAACCATAAAGGAGGACGGAGCGGACTGATGAGCAGTACACCCGCCCTTTGGTCGATAGTCGAACATCTCGTCTACGCCAGAGTCGGCGTAAACTAACAAATGCGAAACGAGCCCCTTGTATTCGTGCTGAGATTTCGTCAGAGATCAGCCCGTTGGGGCTGATGGTACTTCCCAAATAAGTGAAGCGGTCAACGTGCTCTACCACTTCACTTCCTATTTTTAAACTAGGCGTCGATGTAGTCCAGTCCTGTAACATCATCTTGCATTTGGCGGGAGCGAATCGCATGCCAAACATTCGTAGATTGCGGCTCAAGGTGTTTAGAAGACTCTGCATTTCGTCAGCGTCTTCGCCTAGAAGGACTATATCGTCTGCATATTCCAAGTCAACGAGATTATTCCCCGGTAGCAAGTCAATCCCTGAGTCGCTGAAGTCACCTAGGGTTAAGTCCATTAACACATCTATGATGAAGTTGAATAGAAAAGGAGATAATGGGCATCCTTGACGGACACCACTGGTCGTCATCAGTTCAGATGACAGCTCGCCGTAAGCCCTCACCTGGCTGTATGAGTACGAGTAGAGTGCCTTAATCAGTGCAATATATTTTCTCGGAATTCCCTTTACAGCCAAGCATCTCCAGAGAACTTCCCGATCGACAGAGTCGAATGCTGCCTTTAGGTCAAGAAATATAATGACTGTTGGACGCCGGTAGGAATGCCTATGTTCTAGAATCTGTCGGAGGGTGAAGATATGATCAATACACCCTCTTCCTGGTCTAAAGCCTGCCTGGCTCTCTCGTGTTTGTGCTTCCCGAGCACCACTCAGTCTACGCATGATTATTGAGCCTAAGACTTTAGATACTATATTAGTCAAGCTAATCCCTCTGTGATTATCACAGGAAGACTTGTCTCCCTTCTTGTATATGGGGATAATCAGTGACTTACACCAACCCGATGGGACTTCTTCTGATTCCCAGACGCTGCCTAGTACCTCAGTTAATCCGGACAGTAAGCTGTCTCCACCGTACTTAAATACCTCTGGAGTCATTCCATCAGGTCCCGCTGCTTTGCCTAGTTTCAGATTGGTGACAGCTTTAGTAACCTCAGTTAGTGACGGAGGACCTGTGTCTATATCCCATTCAGGGAGGTGTTGGATGCTCGGAAGGTTGAGCGTGGCTGTGGGCAAATTAAACTGCTCCTCATAATGCTCTTTCCAACGATCCAGTCGTCTATCCTGGAGCTAATTATAGTGCCATTTTTTTCCGAGATTGTCTCACTAATGATTTGTCTTCTCCCACCCGTTTCCCTGATGAGTCCAAAGAGTTGCCTGGTGTTGCCTATCCTCAAGCTTTCTCCATCTCTTTGGCTTTTGTCGCCCACCACTGTTCACGGTCCTTGCGGAGACTTTTCGTAAGTTTCCTCTTGTGCAGCTTTCGCTCCTCATTGAATTCGGAGCTCGCCGGAATAAGTCTTCTAGCATCTATCAGTTCGGATGAGGCGGTGGAGATCCAGTGGTTTTTACTCACCTTTGGGTTTACCTTATTCACAGCTTTTACAGCTGTATCTATGGCTGCCTGGATATTTTTCCAAGCTTCTTCAGGGTGAGCACAGCTGTCGAACACAGATATGTGTTTAGCTAGTTCTTCCTGAAATACGGATTTAGTTTCCTGATCGAGCTGGGGACGTGATGGTTTTACCGCCAGCTGTTTCCTACGTCCGTTCAGTCGTAAGCACACCCGAGCGCGGACCAGTGCATGGTCGGTATCTACGCACGTGTTCCAGAAGGAGCGACAATCTCCTACCGACCCACGCCAACGATAGCTTATTGCTATGTGGTCTATTTGTGTCCAGCGTTGGTTTGATGAAGGGGGTCTCCAAGTCAAACAGTGTCTCTCCTTGTGTTTAAAGTTAGTGCTTACAAGAAACAAATGATTATCAGAGCAGAACTGTAGGAGACGGTCACCGTTGTCGGTTCGCTGGCACGGAACTCCATAGGTGCCACCGACATCCTTCTCAGATTGACACAATTTCCCTACTTGAGCGTTAAAGTCACCAGCTAGAACGACTATGTCTGAGCGTTTAGCCTTTCCACCAAACTAGACAGCTTTTGGTAGAACTCATCCTTCGTTTCATCTGAACTGCAGTCAGTGGGGGCGTAGGCGGAGATTACGAAAAGGCATCGGCGAGTAGTGCAGTCCTTCCTCCTTCTTACTGATCCGTTCAGGCGGACAGCACACATTCGGCTATCTACCGGGATCCAGTCAAGCAATGTCTTTTCTGCCCTAGTACTCAAAGCTATCCCTACGCCAGCTAATCCTCGTGAACTAGCTGTGGCATCTCCTGACACCCTCAAGGTGAATTTTGCAGATTCAACCTGTTGGCCAGGTGGGGTTAGGTGAATAACCACACTTGGGTCTTGTATGCGTGTTTCTGAAACACAGCATACATCAATGGCTCGTGATGCCAGGGTCTTGGCTAGTGATGCTTGTTGTCCTATTTGGCAAAGTGTCCTAACATTAAGAGCTCCTATATGAAATTGGTGGCGCGGCTTTAAGAGGCTGTCGGTGGTGGTTTTTTGGCTTCCATCGTTTTTAGTGGACGCAGAGTGGAGAGGAAGTGGAGAGCTATCAAGTCGAGGAGTTGCATCAGTGGAAGGAAGGCAAGATGATAGAGATGAAGATGAAGACAAAGATGAGTGAGTAATAGAGAGGTTTCGTGTGCATTTCGGATTGTGAGGGCGATTGTTACTTCCCGGCTGCCCACACCGTGGAAGTTGGTTGCGTGACCGCAGAGCCCAGGGGACAACTGCTTGAGGCCGGTCACACGCGGCCTGTTTTTGTTCGTTCTTTTTTGTTTGGTGTGTCTCAGTAGCAGATTTATCACTCCCGCCCTGTGACACGGCAGCAGGAAGCGCGGTCGTTGTTAATCCGGGCCACGGCCGATCCGGCATGAAATTTTGTAATTTTGTATTGGACATGATGTTGGATTGGCTAACACATATTAGCAGTGAAGGAAATCTATCTATAGTCATTATCTAATGGTGATTAAGAAAGTGAAGTCAGAGGATTACCATATAACTGAATTACAATTTTCTCTGAATAACTACTTGTCAACACTAAGTTTTTTATTTTGAGAAATATCACAGATTGTCTCTAGTTATTTTTTTGCTGTTACTTTTTTGGCTAACTCTTTTGACTCTTCTAATAAGTATAAAAATTTATAGTTTTCCTGGTAACGTTTGGTAGCGTGAACAGTAGCCGATTATGCGTTTCATGTAACGATTGTGAGGGCATGTTTCAAAATACTCTTTATACGTATCCGAAATATGGTTGTCTGCTTTAATTTTTTCTGAAACCGATTTTGTTAATTTCAAGTGTTGATTTGCGGGGATTTGTTTAGTTATAGGATTAATCACGAGCTGACAAAAGTTAGAGAACCACTGGAAAACCTGGGAGTACTGAACAGTTGTTTCGTCCTAGTTTGGGACTCTTCGTCAGTACTCACCCAGTGGGGCTCGAACCCAGGACCTTCTGCCCAACATTCCCCAGATTTTCCAGTGGTTCTCTAACTGATGTCAGCTTATGATGAAATTCTCCAACCAATCAAATAAAATCTCTACAAAAACCAATACTTGAAAAAAATTAGTTGATCTGTCGCTTACTAGCGACTGGCCGTATTCAGACAGTGACCTGGGGTTCTGTTGGGAAGCTGTAACCAGTAGGGTGCAGCAGGTTGAAGGTGAGGCAGTAACTCATCGAAGAAGACATTGCGAAAAGGTCGTGCTATGCCATGAATTGGTAGAAGATAGAATTCATGGACCGTTGGATCGAGTCCCAGTGGCCTAATGGTCTACAAGTCAGCTCGCCTTGTAACCAGAGGGTCCTAGGTTCGAGCCTTGGTGGGTGCGTACTGATGAAAAGTCACAAACTAGGGCGTAAATTGTTTTCACGGAATATGTAGATTAACTCTAATATGAGAGGAACACGTAACTAGTCAATTGACTTACACTGAGATTGCTTAACACTAGATCAGTCTCTGAAGGTAAAATTTGTTTTTAATTTGATGACTCAATTAATTTAGTCATCAGAATATGGTTTTTTTGTAGGTTATGATAAACAATTAAGTTGTTTGGTGAATAACTAAGTTATCCTTTTAAACAGAAATGAAATGAAATTAATGTAGTATTTAGTTGGGAACTTTAAAGTCAAATCAATTAGCTGGGACCTACCATTTTAAAAAAATACTTCAAACTGTCACCAGATAAGGAGGAGAACATGAAAGCAAATTGTGAATAAGAATGTGCATTTTAATAAAATGTTACCAGCTAATTTGGAAAGACTTTATCAACAAACACACTTTGTGTACTTCAGCAGCTTTGATAAGAAGTTTAACAAGGGAATAAATGAAGTTATTCACACTCATTTTTGCAATGCTTAACAACGTTAACTGATTTCGATGACAAGCATTTACGAACTCACTAAATTTTACTCAAATTCTCGTTTACACTTATCAACAAAAATCTGTCAATAGGACAACACATAGAATAACGCTTAAAATGAAATAAATTGAAGCAAACCTAACCTGAATGTCAAATAATGATGCAGGATTAACGACTACACCATAATGTTGCTCTAAATAGGAAGCAAATTTCGCCTTATTTTCTCGTTTAATGCGTAACAAGTGTTGGAGAAGACTAGAGTCGTTAACGCGTGATTTTAATTGAGCAATCTCAGACAAATTAGTAATCCATGATTCACTGCCATTCATATTCTCCATAATTAAATCTGATAAGCTTGGATTGCACAAAAGAAGCCAACGACGAGGTGTAATTCCATTAGTTTTGTTCTGGAATTTATCAGGCCATAATTCTGCGAAATCTCGGAACCTGTGTAGGGTATACAAAGTAACAAGGGATAAGTAAACGGGAAAAATACAAAAATGACGATGTATTAGTAAAATTTGCATATTTATATAAATTATGCTTTGCTCGCTAAGTACACGGAAATATGCTTAACAGCCGCAAACATATGAGGACTGGCAAGTTAATAAGAAATATATCAGTGACTCAATACTTCGAGGTTTGTATTACGCAACGGATATAACACCTTAATTGCCTGCGTTAAAAATGAAGCAATTGTTATGAGCTAAAAATCCACGATTATTTGATAGCAGGCTAAATTCTTGATAATGCAGAAGGAAGATGGACCTGCTTTGCAGTTAAACTGCTGAACGAGTTTGTGAAGATTATGCTCATAATGGCTCAATAATGGAGACACGGAACAGTGATTGCTGATGTATCAACAGTTCTTATCAAGATTCAATGAGTGTTGCGATTTCTACTTATGGAATCGATAATTAGTGTTGCCAGTATTTCTGAAGTGCCTGAACTAATATTAAGTTCTTAGAATATGTTGTGCAATCGTCTTTATCATTTTATTGTAAACTTTCATAACTCGGCGTCTTCTTTCCCTGCATATAATCCCAACCGTTGTCTTATAATTTAATGTGATGGAGAAGATTTGTATCTCGGGGAGATGACATTGAATTGGTTTTATTCTCTGTGCTGGTTGATTCAATTGCAAGACCTTCGTCGTCGTCCCTCTAAACAACATCTTAAGCGCAGGTTTTAGTATAAAATGAACTCATTTAAGCGGTATCCGAGAGATACAATTATGTTATTCATGGAAAATTTGAATGAGTTCTTTTTATACTAAAACCTGTTATGAAGATGTTGTCTGAAAGGACGACAAAAGCTTCGCAGTTAAACCAACCAACTCAGAGAATACACCTAATTAACAATCAATTAATTTACTGGCGTCTATGTGTGCCAGTTTTGATTGTAAAAAAAATTGGGTAATATTAACAATGACTGATAGCGAGAAAAACTTGGAATAAAAATGTTCATACAGAAAAACATCTTACGTTTGAGTTTTTAGTAAATGTGAATGAATTGCAGCAACACCATTCACAGTATGCGAACCAACAATACATAAGTAAGCCATATTAATGCGCTTTTCGCCTTCTTCTTCTACCAATGACATACGGCGGATACGATCGTTATCATTTGGATATTTAGCACGTACAATCTGAACAAGGAAAAGAATTTAAGAGAACACGAGTAGGCATTAAGACATCAGTGTATAATTATCAGAGAAGGGGAGGGTACATATTTCAATAGAAAAGTGATAGTTTTGGGGGAGAAGAGACACGGTTAGAAGCTGATAGCTTCAAAATCAAAAGGCAGTGAAAGTATTGCAATGTAAGATGCAAATAATTACCACTTTGTGTGTGTGTGTGTGTGGCATGGATGCATCCACTCTTTGTGGTCTTCTTGATCCACTAAATCCTTACCATTTGCCAAGTGATTATTTTCTCTCCTGTAAGTTTTCGTTTATTATGGCTTCTTTGCATTGTCGTTTTTCCTCTTTCCTGTCTTTATGTGTGTTTCTATGAGGTGTGGCAACTTGAACTGTTGCATTCCGTGTATAGTTTTATGCTGAATATTTATCTCAAATCATTTAATTAGGCATATATATATATATATGTATATATGATCAGATAAAAACTTACATCCAAGAATTCAGCATTAATCTGATAAATAATTTCCAAATGACGTGGTAATATATGCTCTAGTAGGGTGACAGGCCAACGCTCCAGTGCTTCGGGTAGAATTGTATGGTTTGTGTATGCAAAAGTACGATAGCTAATATCCCATGCCTTGGAAAATACAGATTAACAGAAACAAAGATGAAGTACTGATTAATTGAATTTTGTGAAAACCATGTGGTAAATTCCTCATACCATCAGTTTCCGAGAAATTCACTGCGTAGGAATGCAAAAAACGACATCGAATCAAGTTATATGCGAAGAGTGAAATAAGTCCACATAAATTTGTCTACTTCATATATACCACATAATGAAACAGTGTCGTTTACTGAATGACGTTTCGGACACAATTTATCGTTCATCATCATATCAGTCACGACAACCGAATCATAATATGAACATAACAGAATAATTGCCACTGATCTAAGACCTGATTTTCGAGCTATATATATATATATATATATATATATATATATATATATATAATTCTAGATGACAACAGTTAAACTGTCATGGATTTGAAAGGGAACAATAGAGCGAAAGAAGTAGAAAATTATCTTCAATAATATGCATGCAGGTGAAAATGGGTTTCACAAATCGTCGACTAATTAAAATTGTGAACAGTTATTTTATTTGCTTACGGCAGAGAACGCCAAGGGTGAACATAGGGTCCAACTTAACAGTCAGTATTTCTGGATAATTTGCATTTATTAATACAGTAAATTGTAGGTGTGGATATACTTACTTGTGTGTGAGTATTTCTCAAAACAAGACTCAAAATAAAATTAAATAAAAGGTACTAGACACTTACCTTTTTCCACTCTAGACCTTCTAAATCCACTAGGATACGCATTAACTCGGGTATTGCCAGTGAAGGATGCGTATCATTCAACTGAATAGCAACTTTGTTTGGAAATTCATCAAATGTCGGATGACGAGCATCACCACTTCGATAGCGTCGAATGATATCCTACAAAAAATGTATGAAAAGGAAGATATTAGTTAAAGCTAACATATTGCTTGAGTTTATGCAAAGATGTAAAGTGAAAGCGTGATATAAAATAGGTTTCTCAATCTCATCTGGAAAACATGATAAAAACAGAATTTCTGGGAATTAGGAAAAATTAGCAATAAAACATTTCCCACAAAGTAGAAGTCGTTTGAGTATTTTAACGACACTCATCTGCAGAATGTTACTTTTGTGTCCAAAGAGAAAAAACTGTTTGAAAAAAAAACAAAAAAAATGGAGACTGAGAGAATTCCACACTGATTCATAAATACTGTTTTGGAATAAAGCTAATCATTATTATTGTTCACTCATATTTCAAGTTGGCACTCTGTTTACTATGTGTTCGGTTCTTTAATATACCTGTGAAATATAAAGTTGAAGAAACTGGGTAGTAATAACTGGTGCGTCAATTGAATCACAGGTTGTTACACCAAATCTATAGCAGTATTTTAAGGGACGAAGTTGAAGATGTAGCAGTAACTCTTCGAAGAAGACATTGCGAAATGGTCGCCCTATTTCGTGAATTGGCAGAAGTTAGAATGCAAGAACCATTGGATCGGGTCCCAGTGGCTCAATGGTCTACGAGGTCGCTAGCCTTGTAACCAGAAGGTCCTGGGTTCGAATCCCGGTGTGTGAGTAATGATGAAGAGTCCCGGAACTAGGACGAAACAGCTATCCAATACTCCCAGGTTTTTCAGTGGTTCTCTGACTGATGTCAGCTCATGATGAAATCCTTCATGCAATCAAACACAGGATCCCTACAAAACCAATACATGAAGTTAGCTTTGTCGAATGGGCCAAAGTTAATAAACTGGAATAATTAAGTCATATTTTATATATGCACGGCAGCTAAATGCTTAGTGCAGCAACATTCATTCAGACGAAAGGAAAACAGCAAATTGTTGAAGGTTACTAGGAAAGGAAGGAACTTTTCGTATTATACGTGATTACATCATAAGTATATGGAAATGAACCTAAGTTAGGTGACAGTTTGTAAACATCAGTCTTACACTAATTCGACGAGAATTGTCAATGTAATTTTTGGTAAAAGGAGAAACACGCTGTGTACCAATTTCGCTAGATTTAACTATTTTACCTCATAGAATAGATTTTTTGTTCAGTCTACACAACAATACCAGAAGATGACAAAATAAGAGGAATAATTTTTAAAATAAATAACTCGTACATTGAACAAAATAGACAAAACAATTTGTTTCACAAAGCTAGTGTACAAATAATACTTTACCTGCAAAGTCGCTGCAACTAAAAAGTATTCCTGACGAAGACGTAGTTCCTTCCCAACGAAGAAATTGTCATTTGGATAAAGAACACGGGAAATATTTTCCGCATGATTACGTGCACATACAGCCTAAAGTATAAAAGTAACAAAAGTAAGCCAGTAATCTTCCAAAATTAAAAAAAAACATTTCTGTGACAGCAAACAACTGAGAAGTTTACATCACTTCAGCAGCTAAATATCTGTAGGTATTGAAATAGGCGTCGGCCGGTGATCGAACCCCATGCACATGGTCCGGGCTTCGATCACCGGCCACAGACGCACTCCTTTACCTCGCTAAGCCAGAAATAATGCTGGTAAGGAGGAAGGGTTGGGCATGAGACTAGCAACCCTATCCTGTAAAATAAACACTGCTACAGAAACTTCAAGCCACTAGCTTGAAGAGCTATGTTCCACTGAAGGAAAAAAACTCATATATTGAAATAGGTCATCAAAAATATTCATCTTCTAAATATTATTGAAAAATATTCTCGAGCCTGACTCATTCTCACTGACGCACCACTTATTATTATTACAAATATCAAAAACCGTTAGCCCATGTTACATTTGTATTAGATTCTATGCAAGTTTTGTGCACCAAGAAAGCTTTTGTTAGATAGGACCATGTAGTTTAGAAAAGGTGATAGGCTGATAAGCTGAAATAAGAATCATTTCCACTTCAACTATTTTCGCCAGTCAAAATAATCAGTGCTGCGGAATAAACTTCAAGAACAAATCTGCCATTCAGTTACGTGCCTATTGCATACACAAACGATCTATGTAAAACCCTGATTCCTTGTTTCTAGTCTCAATGCAATGGATGTAAAACGGTGCATATGTATATGCATATATCACTTAAGTACAAACTGTTTTCTGATTTTAATGATAACGTTGTATAACTTTGAGAAATTTTTAATTTTCTTTTGACAGCACTTACAACCGAACAGTTAACGTGCCTTCTATTCCATTTTTGTTTGAGATAGCATATATATAGCTCTGTATTTTGCGCCAAACAAACATAAATGGACCAAATGAAGATGCCATATTTGAAAACTTTCCCAATCTTTCTAGTCATACTTACTACTCATATTATGTTCAGGTTTCCCATTCATTTTTCAGTTGTTGAGAGCAACATGACTCACTAGTTCAGCTCTTAAGGCTAAACAATAGGACGTCTTGATCTGAAGAAAACTTGTCGAAAAGCTAGAATACCGTTTTTGCACATAGCTCAAAAGTTATTTATCTAAACCTGGACGTCCAGTATGTGTAAGCAGATGAGGCATGTCGGTTTGACAGTTTCAGAAAGTATCACATAGATAATCAGGTGGAACCCAGCAGGTTTATACTATTTTGATGGAGTAGTTGCACATAATGACCATTCAGCTAACTTTAATGGCTAAGATGAGTGACCCTGGAGGCAATACCATGAGAAAATGACCGGTAGAATTGAAACAAGTTAATGCTAATGGAGTCCAAAATAAGAATGGTACTGATAGCAGGATAGCCGTATGAGAGCACCCACGACCAAAAAGCCTACTATGTTATCACCCTATTTAAGGAGGTGAGTTGGCTCCTATACTACGGCGCTAAGATTTTGTGTACACTTTTTGTCATATATATCAACACTTTCGAGAAAAAAAGTGTATAAATGACCCTGAGTAGATATCCCTTCGATTCCACAATCAAAGAAAACTAAACCATAACTTCCATAATTTGGAAAGCCAGGAAAGTTGACCGCCTAAAATTTCTGTATATAACATAGGTGAAAATTAATAATCAAGGGGTAGAAAGTAGTAAAAAGGCCATCGAAATTGTGAAGAAGACAGCTGATCTTATTTTGTAAATTTGATAGAAATACAATAAAAAGTGAGTTCTGGATGTAGTTAGTATTGTATTCAACTAAGTATGGTGTAAGATGAAGAAACTTTGAAAAGAATATTATTTTCTGCATAAAATTTAAGGAAATGAAATATCTTACGTTAATGTAGTCGCCCATATTGAAAATACCCAAATCGAAACTTTTTGGAGCCTTGGCAGACCAAAGTCGGAGTGTGTTGCAAGTGTTATTTCTGTATCCTGGGATAGGAGTATCATATGGCATAGCGAAAACTGGATGCGCATCAACCCAGCGTTTACGTCCATTTCCAGCGTCCTCAACACGTCCGTAGAAATTGACTGGATAACAGTATTCTGGTCTTCCTTTTTCCCATGGATTACCAAAACGCAACCAGTCATCCGGCTCTTCAACCTTAGACAAACAAATGGAATAAAGATAATTTAGGGTCTGTTTCACTTCTCAGTAAGGAACCAACATAAGAAATGCGTTTAAATGAGAAGCAAAACAGAACTTATAAAACACCACTCCTATTCTAAAAACTGACGACGAACACCTAAAAACCTTAGAAATAAATTGCACAATTACTTTGGTAATTGCAGTGTAGTTATTTGGATCTGAAGTGTATTTACCTGCCAGCCATCACGAATAACCTGCTCAAAGATTCCATAGTCATAGCGGATGCCGTATCCATAGGCAGCTAGTCCCAATGTTGCCATGGAGTCCAGGAAACAAGCAGCTAGACGTCCCAACCCACCATTACCAAGACCAGCATCTGATTCCATCTCCTCCAATTCTTCAATATCCAGACCTAACTACACATGAAAATGCGATAAAAAAAGTTGAGTGGATTAGGAGTAATACAACACATAAAGAAATGGTAGTTAAAAGTGAGACGTGTAATAGGAATATCTTGACTTTAACGATTACGAACAAATAAACTCATCTTGCAACTGCTAGAAAGTTTGTTCCGTATCATTTATCTGCATGAAATCTTGAAGAAAATAAAAACGAACTAATCACTCTCCTTCATGAGCGTATTTACCTTAGTAGTAAAGTTCGAAAACCATACTTTCATCCGTCAACCATATGTCGAACTGACTTACAGTAGTACCTTATGTACATATATATATATATATATATATATATATATATATTCACGACTGTTGAGGAAGTTGAACGGTTTCAAATGTCATAAGCAACAGGTGATAATGCTACAGAATTCTGTGTTTATCAATCATTTCTGTGTTTAAAAATCCGTTGTGAAGTTAAACACTGGAGGCATGATCATTTTACTTAAAACAATTATTATACCAAGTATCGTTGCTGTTGGTTTACAACAACTCCTGAAGAATTGTGAAAGTTATGATGAGTAAATGTTATTTTTAGCCTTATAGCAGGGGTCTTTGTCGGAAAACAGTAACTGATCAGCCTGTCGATCAAAACTTGTAAGTGAGTAAGTAGGTAATGAGAACCAGAAGTTGTTGACAGTTTATTTTACGTGTATTATGTGAAAATTTTGGTGGGAGTTTTGCATCATTCCCCCAGGGGATTGAAAGGATACTTTAGATATGGTGAGCTTAAAATCCCGTTAAGGCATATAACTAGTAGATATGGCAAATAAATGCTACAGACAAGTCACTTTTCTTCTGATACACAGTACTGGTTTATCTGACGCAAACGACCTCAATTTGTTTGGTCCACTCAGTTAAGCATATATCGGTAACATAATCGTTTACATAAAGCGAAAACTTACAAGTTATGCAGGTAATGATATATCAGCATGCCCAGATATCTGCCTAACAGATAAAATTATCTATACGACGTCTTATAACTTTATTGGGGAGGGTCGATCCCGTCACCACTAAAGATATCACATGAAAACATAGCTAGGCGTTTTAAAGTTAAACAGCTAGCTAGCAAATACTTCCCTAAAGGTTACGTTTCTTTACAGGAAACTGCGGACAAAACAGAGACATAATTGACCACAATTGAATATCAGTGTTAACAACTAAATGTTTAACATTTAACGTTACCTCCGCGTCCATTATACTGACAACCAGAGTGAAGCTAAGATACTGTGTAGTGATGAACAATTTTGTCAGTTAAAAATGTCTATTTCATCCTTTAACTTTTGATATCAGCATAGTGCAATTAAGCATGATACAGTAGTTATGGTTTGAACCCTTCAACTTTACTGAATTATATCGAAAAAAGTTATCACAGTAAAGTAACCTATAATGCAGTAAATCAGTCTTAGTTTGAATGATAAGAGCAATTTGCATTTACAATAATGAATAAACAACAAAAAAACATTGAAATATGGACAAAGAATCAATTAGTGAAACCAATTAAATAATTTGAAATTTCAAGTGTGTTAATTGCATCCTTAGAAGCTATACAGAAGTCAGTTGAGTTTGACGGGGTCCCAATGGTTGACTTCTTATATAAGTTACATTTATTATTCTACTGTGATTTAGTGACTACATACGCTCACTTAATATGATGTTAGATGAATACTTAAACCAAAACACCCTAAACACGTGAATACTTAAGCTGTCACGGTAAGTACAAAATGGCAAAAATCATTATTCAAATCTTTATCTTCAGAAAAAGTGCTCTGAAGGACGTCGAATTACCTGGTACATAGCTTCATCAACTGCGGCCGATATATTTACATTCATCATTGTATTAGTCAAACTGCGACCCATATAGAACTCCAGAGACAAGTAGTATATACGCTAAAAATAAGAAGAATGGGATTTAACAAGTATGATGCATAGATTAAAACTAACTTTGCTAACATTCAGGGTTAGAAAGCCTACACGTACTGGAATTTAATCCCGTAATCAACTGATGAAATAACCCTTTCAATGACTTTTACTTTGATGAGTGAGGCAGTGATACACATGGTGTTTTTATACACGTTACACTGAACTTTGAAGAAAGTGTGGTTGCTTCAAGACGGATAGGATCTAAAGTACGGTCTTCCAATACAAAATTAGGTGAAGTTATAAATTTGAAATTTAATTCATAATCAGATTTTACATATATTTATGTGGAACAGTTGTCTTTCAAATCAAGTCTGGAGTGCCGACAAAGTTGAAAACAGATGAAAATCCAAGATACGATACTCTTACGAATCCGTAATGTTCCTTGCTTCAGTGTATGCGGATTTAAATGCATTATCGTGTTAGGCAGAAACCACACAGTTACAAACAGTATAACTTACTACAGTATCGTGTTAAATCCAATACACTGTAGATATCTGGTTATTAGGCACGCCAACGCAGTATTGAGTGCAATAAGTATCGGTAAATTTTCGCCAAAACATATTTAGGTCAAAACAACCTAATTATATGCTGTCTTAACGGCTGATGCAACTGGTGTTTGTACACACATGTCGCATAACTGTTTAAGCGACGAAATTGTATTAAATTAATGTCTGAAGACTTAAAACCTTTCTCAGCTTTGTAAAGTGCTTGAGAAATTAACACTTGACAAATTGTAGCTAATAATATTGCTATTAGTTTCTACTATTTCACTACACATTTTGTTGGTTTCTACAATGATTTGGTTTCTAAAACTGTCCTTCATACCAGGGCTAACTTAACAAGTACTGCAAATTCCTGAAAGACATTAAGGTTTCAATAAAACTTCTGAAGACGAACTGAGAAGTGTAGGATACTTATCTGTAACTACATTTTCCTAAGCTCTGCTACAGGATTCCAAAAAGACTTTGTCTTGTTAATAAGGAAGATGCTTAGTATCACATAACAGTAATGCAACTGTAGAACTTGGACACTGTGGTAGAATGTAACTGAATATTAGATAGATTTATTTCAAATACTGTGATGTAATATTAAAAACTGGATGACATCTAAGCAGAATTGACTGATAATAACTATAGCCGTATTCACACGACTTCATAATTTGCCTTACAGAAATTTTTCTTTCTTCCCCTTGTTCTTTGTCGCCCCTTTCCATATAGCTGGTAAAAACCTAGGAAAGGCCTTTGATTTTCCTTCTTTATACGGTTTGGCTGGTTTTATAAGGACATGTTTCTTACTCAGGAGGGTAAGGCAAGAAAACAATCAACATAGCTCTTAAGAAAAATACGGAGAGAGTTGGACTGTTTCACTTCAGATTGATGAGTAAATGGGTTATATACTGTAAAAAGAAGTTGTGAACTGAACAAATAAAGCAGTTACTTACGTTAACAGTTTAATGTCTTCAAGCTTACAATAATTCTGAAGTATACATCAATAGTACCGTTTTATGGGAAATGAATATTATGTGTGCCTAAAACATAGTATGCACTGAACTAATTGTGGTAGTACTTAAAAATAGCACCGGACGACCGAGTAATGCGAGCTATGCTGAAATATGTTTAGCCACTACTAAATTGGGTCTTAGGTGGATCGAACAGGGGTGAAAACAAACACAGTACTGTTTGGACTACTGATGATGATGCCGAGGTAAAGTACAGAATGCTGAATTATAGCCAGCACTGATGGGAAAAAGAAGCAGGTTTTATGTTATGCGAAAAATCAGACTACTGCAGGATAGCCTCAGAATTAACACACTGTAGAAAGTGGGTGTTCAGAGTTTGTGGGCTTTACTTCAGTATTACTGTAGGCTTGGGTCTCTTCAAAGAGAGAGAGACCCAAGCCTACAATTGTACTATATAGCACTGGCAATATCTCGGATACAGATACGTCAGTAAGCAAAATAACACTCGCAAATTACTATGGCAAGAGCGAAACTGCGCTTTTACATAGTGTGTGTATAAACTTAGACGCCTTCGCTAGTATAGGCGTACAGATCAAAAAGCTACTTTGTTTGCAAAAAAATAGAGCAGGAATGCACAAGCTTATGGAAAAAATGAAGAAAAACATTGCTTATGTTCTAACCTTAGGATCTTCTCGGTGATAAAACTGCTGAGTTCGAATCCATCGTGAACAAAGATGGTCCCAAACAGTACGTGCCAGTGCATGATAGAAGTCAAGAGATGTAGCAACGTTCCTGTCCTTCACACCATCAAAGTGAAGATGCCTATTGAATCCGGCCTTAAGATTAGACACATTTTCCAACTGAGCTATCCCCCTAACACTAATTTGCTTTCTTTTCTCGGCGTCAGACAACATTTCACAATTTGTCAGCGTCAAAAGTGAGAAATAAGTTAATGCAACCGACACAGTTAAACAAAACGTTATATCGATATTCAATTAGTGAGTAATAGGTAACATCTTGTCTAAAACCGCCTTTGGAGAAGTGAATGAGAACGGAGAGTTATTCGCAGACTTCTGCTCTTTCAATGACCTGGTGATCGAAGGCAGTGTGTAAAAACACAAGCAACATGGATTTCGCCTTACGGACACACCACTAAACAGATAGACTTCATTGGAATGTCGCTCAAGGAAGTGAAGATGCAACCTGCTGGACACAATGTCAAGAAGGGGAGTAAATGCGTGCTAAGACCATCATCTAGTTCGAGGAAACTTCAGAGTGGAGCTGAAATCCGTCGGACTAATCGCGGACAAAGTTTCGAGGGATGCTTTCTCTGCAGATCAGATCAGAGCAGAGTCGTAGACACTAAGTAGCATCACGGAGGAAACCTGTGTAGAGGAACATCGGAACTAACTCTCTGAAGATGATGTTCAAGAAAACGTGTTCTAGGAAGAAAGAAGAGGCAAGACAAGATATAGTTCTCAACAGATGCCTGAAAGTTAATTGAGGGGAGGAGGGTGGCGGAAGAGAAGATAACTAAATGCAAAGATGGACAATAGGCGGAGGAGAAGCTGAGTTCACAGCAATGTACACTACACTGAATCAAGGAAGAAGTGAAGAAGAGGGCTAGGAAAGATAAATAAGATTCTACGACACTGGCTGGCTAATGGAGCAGAACAGGCGGGCGGCTCGAAAAAGAGACCTGAGAACACTACGTTACATAACCAGATCGGTATCCAGGAAGAGGTCGACGCAAGTGAAGCCTGCAATCGACGGTTGAGGGAACCTAATTGCGAAGAAAGGGGAACAAATGAGACAGTTGGCTGATCGCCTTGTAAGTCGCATGAATCGACTTTCTCCTGCATTTCGCCCAGAAATACCACCAGCAACAAAACTCAGAACTGCCTGCCAGTGGACACCAATCCTCCAAAGAAAGCAGAAACTTGAATGCAGTCAAGTTGCGTAGGTCCGGTAAGGCACCTGGGGCAGAAACAATTTCCCTCGAAAACGGACACAGAGACTGCAGCGGATTATCACATGCTATTATTGTAAAAGTTTTGGAAAGACAGCTACCTTGTCAAGCTTCCAAGGTAGGGCGACTTATACCTCTGCATGAACTGGTGCAGAATAATGCTCTTGTCCCCGCCAAGTGAAATATAAGTTCGCGTTATCCTGGGGAGAATAAAAGATGCACTGCATACAGAAATCCGCCACTGGAAAAAATTGGATTCATCAAAGGCAAATCATGTGCCGATCAAATGGCAACTCCGTGCATCGTCATCGAACAGAGCATAGAATGCCATTCAAACCTCTTTCTACCTCAGTTTCATCGACTATGAAAAGACCTTCGGCAGACAGTATTGACCTCGAGGTGGATTGGAAACTGCGTCAACACTACGGAGTAAAGTGTCCAAATCTTCATCAACCTCATTCAGTATCTGACTAGATGACAATGCCACGTGTCAGGGGATCAACAATGGAGAACTCAGAGAGGCGTTCGAAGTGAATACAAGAGTAAGACAAGCTGACTGCTTATTGTCACAGGTGATATCCTTAATTAAGGTGGACTGGTTTATGCGTACGACTGTTGGGGGCGAGGAGTGAGTAATATGCTGGTCCACGGATAAGAAAACTCTAGAAGATGTAGTTTCCTCATGTTACATAAACTCGAAGATTTGCTAGCGAATACCAACAAACTGGATGAAAAGCTGGCTGCGAAGGCAGGAATGTAGGTAAACACAGAGAAGACGGAGTCGATGAAGGAAAACGCGCACCAACGGCAACAACGACAACCAGCACCAATCACCATCAAGAGGTTGCTTCTTGCCTTCACTTATTTAGGAAGCATCGTTTCAACCAGAGTCGAAAACTTGGCGCTTCACGAAAAGGATTTCCAACAGTTAAAGACTTTTATCGGCAGATGCTCTCTGTGGCTCCATTCTGAATACTGAATTGCCGGAAATAACTAGTAACAAGAAATTATTGTAGCAAACTAACCAAGAACTTATCTTTCAAAGAATATACAGGAGAAAATGGAGATTAGTTGAGTGGCATTGGTTCCCAGGCTGTCGAGAGCGAAACGAATGAGAAATTAAGAGTTAGACATCCGAGTTTTACATGGAAGAGATCGTAAAACGAGGAGATGAGAGATTATGGGAAGTTGTGGGCCCAGCTGAAGAGAACGGTGTCACATTGAACTTAGTGTGATGTGTTGTTGAAACCTTACGTTCCACTTGGAACCAAAGAGAATAACAATAAATAATAATGTATAATTTTGCCTCATTTCTGAAAATTCTCCTAGGCCTGAACGTTTGCCTTAACATGAAATGTAGCGTCACAATAAAGCTAACCATCATCTAACCGTAACCTTATGCTGCGAATCTCAAAGACAACTTGAGGCATTGAAAATGTGAGATTTTATTTGGACTGTTTACAAAGGGATATAGGGAATGATTTGAACTTGTATTCCGAAATATATAAGAATATGAGGGATTTTAGCGGTAATTATGTGTTGACACGATGATTAAAATTTAGAAATACAGTTAGCGTTGGAAACGCTAAATATAACTGGTTAATAAACCCAGATAACTAACCATCAGTCGTGCCTTCAAACTGGGTGGACTGCCGTTAGTTGTCTGCTGCGATTCAAATACAAATACGGCAGTACATGTATCTATTCGTGTATTCGTCTTTCTTTGTAGATTCTCACATTCGCCACTAAAAGTAATAACATAATCGCATTATCTAGTACACGAAGGACGCCAGCTTACATGTACTGTGATAGCGTTAAATAATACATGCGGAATATTTTTACCTGACACAGAAGACCACCCACAATTAAAATGACCATCTCAAGTCACAGAAACATCATAATCTTGACACCCTCACACTGAAAATCAAATCTAAACCACGTTCCACACCAAGCCCCTCAGGGCTTGCCGAAGCTAAAGTAGCCAAATGGATGAATTAGGGAACCTAGACACAAAATGCTGAGAAGAAAGTTACACGAATAGAAACCACTCGTTACTTCAAGAATTATTCAAGTATGTGACGCATTAAATGTTTTCAGTCAAAATGGTTCTCATTCTTGCTGAGTGCCGTGATTAATACCAAATTTCGGCTCTTATCGGGGCATTCTGAAGTTGATGTTAATGAGCATTGTACTAATATTCAGAAGCCTTGATAATAATAATAATAATAATAATAATAATAATAATAATAATAGTATATTCTCATTTTGTACATGAGAGACGCCAGTTTACAGGCATCATCAATATGATAAATTACATATACGATTAGCAATCATAATTAATAATAATGTTTTAATAAAATACACATTTTTTCCTACTTGTGTAGGACACACCAAATATACAGGCATGGGTAAGCATTCTTTAAATTTCATAAATTCGGTTTATGGTTAAGTTACATGGTTGCTGGCGTTTTTGTTTTAGGTCTGTGGGAACAATATGATAACCAGTCATTCAATGGAGTACGTCATGAAATATAGGAATATTAACTTCGCATTAACAAAAAAACCCAAGTAAGTTTTGGATGGATTAAAAATACTTGGGAAAAAATAAAGCTTGAAGTTATTCCACAATATAACAAGTCATTCAATGGAGCACATCCTGAAATATAGGAATATTGTCTTCGCATTAACAAAAAAACCCAAGTATGTTTTGGATGGATTAAAAATACTTGGGAAAAAATAAAGCTTGAAGTTATTCCACAATATAACAAGTCATTCAATGGAGCACATCCTGAAATATAGGAATATTGTCTTCGCATTAACAAAAAAACCCAAGTATGTTTTGGATGGATTAAAAATACTTGGGAAAAAATAAAGCTTGAAGTAATTCCTCAATATAACTTGGGTGTGTACAAATCCGAATCTTATTTTCGATTTGATTTATATCCAAATTGGGTAATAAGGAAGCTATTTTACAGATACGATCAGTTATGTTATAAGCTACAATCGTGACGTTGTATTACAAATAGATACTTTTCCATTGGTATAAGAGTATATTCCACAAATGTAATCCAGGTTGCGTCGTGGAGAAAGTTAATTCGTTATTAACCAGGCAACTGAAAGATACTGGACCAATAATGTTTGCAGATTATTTGTCATTGTAAATGGTCAAATATCCACATTATTCATTCTCATTCAAAAAGTCAAATGGTGAGAGAAAAAAGAAGACAAACAACAGCAACGCAAAAGAAAGCAACGGGAGTCCTTAAGGAGTGATTAATAAATATATACATATATATTCTGTTTAGTAACTGTGGTTATTTTGGTACACAAACTAACTAGTCCCGTTATTCTAACTTTTATATTATGTGTAAACCAATATTACTGTCCTGTGTAGAAATGTTTATCATCTAGTTCCAATAATATTAAAATTTACAATTGTAGTTTGTTGTAACTACACGTTTAAAGAACTTAAAATATCTATGTATGGTGAACAAGAAGGTGTAAGAGTCCAAGTGTCCAAGTCCATTTGCAGCCGGTCCGAATTGCACATAACTGACACTGGCTAGTCAGAAGAAGGGAGAAAAACTTTCTAAAGCACTGTAGACAGTAAGATAGCCAACTCCGTTTTACATGAATGACATTAGCCAAACATATCGTCCCTTCCTCTGTTAGTTTGAAAAGGATAGCACTACGTGGCCCTTCAGCTTCATAGTGAAATGAGTTAAGCCACCATACTGTATTCTGAGCTCACAGTTTTAGTCGTGTGACGAAGTTGACACTTCCTGTTGATGATCCTTTATAGTCTAGCGGTAGGTGATTCCCTAGAATTGCGTCGGTGGAATAGTGGTTAGGACTCTCGCCGACCATGCACATGGTCCGAGGTTCGATCCCCTGCCGACGCACATCTGATATCTATGGTCGGCCTGCAAAATTTGGGCTACCGATATCCATGCTGAAAATTTCATACTTG